GGGGGGGGGGGGGCGCTGTCTGGTGCCCGCTCCGCGCGCTCGCAGCACCCCGCCTCGCGGGCAGCGTGCAACTCAGAGAGCTGCGCAGCCCGGGAGCTCTGCTGGCCAGAGGGATCTGCGTGCAATGATGGCTGGATGATTTAGAGATACTATTAACTTGATTGTAAGGAGTTTTAAAATCTGTCCGCTTTTTTTAAAGGGTGCTATTTTAAAACAAAACTCTTCCAAACTATAAGGCATCTATCTGCTCCCCCGTTGGCGTCATCGTACTGCATAAGAGAGGAACCATAACTAACGCTCAACAAAATACCCAGTATACTACACTCGATGGCTGGATGATTTAGAGATACTATTAACTTGATTGTAAGGAGTTTTAAAATCTGTCCGCTTTTTTTAAAGGGTGCTATTTTAAAACAAAACTCTTCCAAACTATAAGGCATCTATCTGCTCCCCCGTTGGCGTCATCGTACTGCATAAGAGAGGAACCATAACTAACGCTCAACAAAATACCCAGTATACTACACTCAAAATGCTCTCGAAAGTAAATAAACTTAGCAAGAAAGTTACCCCCCTCCCCTCGATCTCTTTCATTTGTGGGGATTACATATTAGAGTAGGTACAATTGTTGTCTGCAATTGTGTTTTAAGTGAATGGTGTCACCTTAAGTAACCTTTATAAAATTACGTTTATTATTAATCAAAGGCCCCAATTCTGCAGATTTACGCAACTTAGCTTTTACGAGTTCCAGCTAGTGAAGTTAAATACTTAGCTATTTGCAACATGGTAGGAGGGAATGTAAGTCATCTGCACAACCAAGAACAGAACCCATAAGTCCTGTAACGAACACATACCTCCTTCTCCATCCCCCGGCCAAAATCCACTCAGGCTCCCTCGGGACCAACTCCCTTTACCCCATTCTGTAACTACTGTAGATGGTAAGAGTCCTCCCTCTGACCCAGAGCTTGACACTCCCTCCGTAGCGAGACCTATAGCCAACCAGCAACCCTTTACAGGCTACAGACTACATCTCCCAGCGTGCACCTGGAGTGTACGGAGTGACGTCAGACGCTGGACTCGTTTTAGGGCCGGGTTCCCGGATATTGCTCCCTTTCTCTTCTGGGAAGGTAAGAATGGCGGAGTGGGCTGTCCCGGCCGCTCCCGTCCGCCCCGAGGAGGCTCTACAGGGCCGGCGAGGCCTGCTCGATGGCTCTAGGGGCCCCGGATGCATGTCAAGGGGCGTGTATGCGCGGAGCCGGCGGGCCCTGGTGACTCCGGGGAGTGTAGGCCGCGTTTGGCGCGCTGTGGTGACTGTGTAACTGGGGAGCCGGCAGCTACCGCAGCAGATTGAATAGGCCCTTGGGTGGGAATGTGATCCTTGGAGTCCTTCTCCGGCGCGGTGACCAGCAGGCTGGGAGCCTCCAAAGCACAGCCCCAGCCCCCCTTAAAAGTGATCCAGCCAGAGCAGATCGCGTGTGGGCCCAGAGAGGGGGATGCCTTCCTTCGCCTGGCTGTGCTCCCTGCCAGTAAAATCCTTTCTGAGCCTTGCCTAGCCCAGGGACTCGCAGAGTGGGTAAAAGCCCAAGCTGCTATATGGCTATGGCCTCTAACACTTCCCTCGATGGGCTATCATGTAACTGCAGCCCCCATTTTGTGTATGCATTTTCCTCTTCTCTGAGTGAGACTTCAGTGTTAGTACATGGAACTTATGATATAGATGGACTTGTGTTACGAGCCAGGTGCAGTGGATAAGGTGGCCTGTGCATCTTGATTAAGCTCCATTTAGTTTAGGTGGCTTTGATGGGAGAGGGAATAGTAAATAGAGCCAGATGGTCTCAAGAGCACTGTAGGAACATGATGGGTTTTGAAAGCACTCGTCTGGACATCGGGTTAAAGTATAATTTGCTTTTGTTCTTTGCAGCCATTCCATTTTTTTGCCCTGTGCACTTTGTTTTAACACCTCGCTAATGCTTTGTTTTGATATTTGGTAGATGGCAGGCGAGCAAAAGGCAGGTGTGAAGAAGGCAAAGAAGCCTAAAAAGCACCATGCAAGTCGTAACCCGGTGCTGGCCCGAGGAATTGGGAAATATTCCCGATCAGCAATGTATGCCAGAAAAGCCATGTACAAGCGCAAGTATGAGGCACCAGAAACAAAGGTATAAAGGGAATGTATTTCCACATTGGACTAAATACATTGTGTATCAAACTTTCACAAGTTAACTTGCTTGGAATTTATTGTTTGCTGTCCGTAGATAGAGAAGAAAAAGAGGGAGAAAGCACCTGCTACCCTCACAAAACCAGTTGGTGGAGATAAGAATGGAGGCAACCGTGTGGTGAAAGTTCGTAAAATGGTAAGAATAAACTAATGAAAAAAGTAAATTACACAAGAATTTTGTCCTGCTAAATGCTGAACTACAGAGTTGCATTGATGTATGAGACAACAGAATGTACTTTTTAGTAGTCTGTAATCATAGAACTGGAAGGGATTTCAAGAGGTCACTGAGTCCAGTCCCCTGCCCTCACTGCAGGACCAAGCACTGTCTGTATCAGGGAAAGGGGACTCCATGGGCGGAATCTGGCCCAGGGAGGCCCTACAGCTCCCCCACCCCCGGCCAATTAGGGCCTGGGGGTAGAGGAGCGCATGAAACTTCCTCCTGCCCTGTAAGGAGCGCGTGGTACTTCGAAGTGCTGCACTCTGGGGCAGGGGGAAGGCAAAGGAAGCTTTGCACAGCTCCCCCAAGCCCTGATTGGCCCGGGGGTGAAGGAGTGTGCTAAGCTCTTCTCTGGACCTTCTCCAATGTCTCCACATCTTTACTGAAATGTGGTGCCCAGAACTGGACACAATACTCCAATTGAGGCCTAATCAGGGTAGAGTAGAGCAGAGAATGACTTCTTGTGTCTTGCTCACAGCACTCATGTTAATGCGTCCCAGAATCATGTTTGCTCTTTCTTTTTTTTTTTTTTTTTGGCAACAGTATCACACTGTTGACTCCTATTTAGCTTATAGTCCACTATAACCCCTTTATCCCTTTCTGCTGTATTCTTTCCTAGACCGCCATTTCTCATTCTGTATGTGTAAACTTGATTGAGCCTTCCTAAGTGGAATACTTTACATTTGCCCTTATTAAACTTCATCCTATTTACGTCAAATCATTTCTCTAGTTTGTCCAGATCATTTCAAATTATGACCAGATCCTCCAAAGCACTTGCAGCCTCTCGCAACTTGGTATCATCTGCAAACTTCATAATTGATGAAGATAATGGACCAAACAAGTCCCAAAACAGACCCCTAGAGAACCCCACTTGTTATGCCCTGCCAGCATGATTGTGAACTGTTAATAACTACTCTCTGCAAACAGTTATCTAGCCAGTTATGCACCCAACTTATAGTAGCTCCTTCTAGGTTGTATTTCCCTATTTTATTGATAAGATGGTCATGGGAGACCATGTCAAATGCCTTAGAAAAGTTTAGGTATGCTATGTCCATAGCTTCCTTATTCACAAGTCTTGTTATCCTATCAAAGAAAATTGTCAGATCTGTTTGCTGTGATTTGTTCTTTACAAATCCATGTTGGCTGTTACCTATCACCTTACTGTTTTCCAGATGTTTGCAGTGGGGATTTAAGCAACTAGTTGCTAGTTTCTTCCCCCTCTTGCTGCCTCTATCACAGAGGCATCAAGGGAGGGATGATGGGGTGAGCTGGTTTCCTCCTGTTCCGTGGGATGGAGCAGGGGCGCAGTGGTGGTGCTTCCTCTTTGAAATCTACATTTCAAAGATTGAAACACCGTGTGGAACCTGGGGCCTACTGGGAGTCCCCTGCTGACTCCAGGCTCTATGTGGGCGCATCCACTTTGAAATGTACAATAGTCCCTGCTAGGGGCTCATGTACATTTCAAAGCTGACAGGCTGCATGGAACTTGGGCTCCATGCCAGTGCTTCCCCTTTGAAATGCACAAGAGCCCCCACTGGGGCTCTTGTACATTTCAAAGTTGAAACACTGTGGATCACAGGGTCAGTGTTCATGAACTTTTTGTTCATGCCTAGTGTTCACATGGGGATTCACAGCACTGCATCTTGGTGTACACTGCTATTCACACCTGTAGTAAGGATGTTAAATTGCGGTTATCTGACTAATTATGTAGGCATGGGGGTTCTCAAACTGTGATACCGTGACCTCCTAAAATGCTAAACGAATGTGTGTGACCACCCCCCCACCACCACCACCAAAGTTAAGCAAAAAAAAAAAGGGTGGGGGTGGGAGCTAAAGTTAAAAGTGGAACCATTTTGTCCAGTTTGGGACTGCACCCAGCCATCCCCCTGAGCCAGCCCCCACATTCCAATGCAATACCTCCTCTCCCTGAGACAGGCATCTTCCCTGCTCCAATCTAATCCCCCACAGAGCCAGGCACGGAGGAACAATCTTAGGAACAATTCATGTGTGGAGCGAGAGAGAGAGAAAGTCTGGTTTTATTGTCACTGTCCCAACTCTGGGATAGGATTAATGGGACTTTACTACTTTATTTTATTCCTTGCCTGGATGATATTCAGTATACTGTAAAATGTTCTGGGAAAGGAATATTATAAGAAAGTGACTAAGCCTCTTTGGGAAGAAGGATAAGTTCTTGGGCTTAAGTTTCTCTAAGGGCATCAGGGGAAAAGACAATTTTGTTCAAGGAAAAAACTGGCTCCAGCTGCGACTCTCCCTGTAAGTTGGGGGTCGCAATCCACAGTTTGAGAAACACTGATGTAGGCAACATAATTTGATACATGATTTATCAACTTGCTAAAATCCCTAGTCTATAATGCAGAATATTGCAGTGTAAACATAGCCTGAGTCAGAGAACATGAACAGTTTAATTGTATTAAATATCAGTTAATTTAATAGTTGATTAACCTCCTGAATTCTTATTTGGTTACTCTGTAGACTTGGGAGTGGGGCTCCCAAGGAGCCCCTTGCCGCTCTTCACTGCTACTTCTGTAAGAGGTAGCAGCATGGGGTGCCCTGTGGGAACTGGTCCACTAGGGGAGCCAGTTTAAAAAACAGCTTCCCTCATGGACTAGCATTGCTGCCTCTGATAAAGAAATGCAGAACCACAGTGGGGGTAGGTCCTGAACCTGCTGTGAGCCAGGATTGAGCTGGGGTGCTGGCCAACCTGCTGAAAAATTTCCTGGTGAAGGTAGGAGAAATGCATGTAGTCTGTAGCATTAACCTATGAGCTTAGGCTAATCGGTTAATTGACTATGCTGTTACATCCCTAGTACAGTTATGGGAAACTACTCCATTCACCATTAAGGAGATTCCCATGGGAATACCCTAACAACCCTCCATGATAGACTAGGTTCCTTGTGTGAATGGGCATAAGCCTATGAATGAGAATCATAGTAGAGCTCCTCTGGCATCTCCTCTCTGGTAAATTGTAAACAATCACGCAACTTTTTTCTGTACCGTGTAACTGATTATCTACTTGATGTAAAATGTTAGTATACTGCAGGAGTGGAAAACCTTTCTGGGTTGGGGGGCCACTGACACCCTGAAATATTGGTGCTGCACAAACAAAAAAACCTGTTTTTTTTGTTGTTTTTTTTAATTTGACACACACTCCCCACATTTACCTAGTAGATTTTGTAGAGCCTCTAGTGTGGGGCCAAAAAGAGGGGTTCACTGTGTTGGAGGAGGCTGCTGAGAAGCAGCCTTGAGGTCTGGGTAGAGCTCAGGAGCAGGCTGGGATGGGAGCCCTAACCCTTGAGGGCTGGATCCAGCACTGTGCCTTAGATTGCCCACTTGTGGCCTACTAGAAAGTGAATTCAGTGCACACCATAAAAAATCTGAAGAGGAATAGAACAGAACAGGTTTTTCAGGAAAGATAGTCTTCCTATGAAACGTGAATCAGCCACTAATGGGGAAGGCTCAGAACTCAGATGAAACTATTTTAGCTAAGCTGGCTGATGGATAGTAAAAGTACAGTTTTGGTTAACAATTTGCTGGTTGGCTTTTTTCCCCCTAGCCTAGATATTATCCAACTGAAGACGTTCCTCGCAAGCTCTTGAGTCATGGCAAAAAGCCCTTCTGCCAACACAAGAGGAAACTGCGGGCTTCTATTACTCCAGGAACTGTTCTGATCATTCTCACTGGTCGCCACAGAGGCAAGGTAGAGAATAATTGTCTCTTTCATATACTTTTCCATGCTACAACCATTCTTCAACATACTGGATGGCATTTTAGTAAGCATCCCTTTAGGCCTAGCCATACTAACACCATTTTTTTTATAACCTCCCACCCACATCCTTGGAAGAGCAACACAGCAGTGTGCTGAGGGGAGGGGAGCTGCTGAGGGGAGGGGGCAGGGAAGACTCAGCTGGGCAGCTCTTTGCTGTCCCTGACTCCCCAGGGCTGTGGCCAGGGCCACATAATTCCCCAGCTGTTCTGGGACCGGGATTGCATGGTTGTGGTGGCACGGCTCCTCAGGTGGCTGGGGCTGACATCCAAGAGTAGCTGGGAAGTCGCCATGCAACCGTGCCCCCCCTTCAGCCCTGAGGAAGGGCTGGAGCTGGGCTAGGGCTGCATGGTAGCTGCTCCTGGGGCAGACAAGGCAGCTGCTAGGCCTGGAGTTTGGGCCTGCCCTGGATTCTGCCTGGCTGTGCCAGTGGGTGTTCATGCTATTTGTGCAACATTATACAGTGTTGCCATTTTACACTGCAGTGGCACAAAGGTAAAGGCAGTGATCTCACTTCTCTACTCATTACTCTCCAGTGTAGGTAAGAGACTCCTTATCTCAGAGCCAATGAAATGTCTCTAGTGCCCCTCTCAGGTACCCTTCTCAATAAAGCTTCCAAAAGGGGCATTTTTGAGGAAAACCAGGAGGTATCCTGGAAAAGCTCTGCCACATCCAAAGAACACATTTGCTTTTCCAGGAAAAAAAAAATTGGAAAAGCAGATGTGGTTTTTTCGGCATCCCTATAAACCTTGTTCTATGAAGTAGAAGGGATGTTCTGAAAGTGTATTTTTCTACATTTGGCCCCTTGTAGACAGGCCAAATATCAGAAAAGTCTTTTGGAAGAAAAGCAGAAAATTTGCAAAATTGCAGTTTGCAAATGTTTTTCCAATTTTTCTTTGTAGTATAGACATAGTCTTAGATACACCTTTCACTCTTTCAGCATTGATACTGTGGTCATGCCTTAATATCCTAATAAAATTTAAAGTCATGAACCTTATTAATTATCCCTTGTTTTAGTGTTTGTTCTTGCATAACTTTTTACAAAATGTTATTTGTTAATGAGTGCCATTGTGGCACCCATCTGCACAAGTGTACATGACCTCAAAATGGGTGCACAAGACGAAACTCACTAATGGATAGAAAATCTTAGAGGGAGCACTGGAAGTAATCTAAAATGCATGGTTCAGCTGTTTTTGCTTTGGAACCAGGCTTGCAAATCCATGTAGTTCATTCTGTTTAGATAGTTGTATCAGTGCCTTCTTGTACAGTTATCCTACGCGGTCTTATGAAGGATAAGTTCCCTTCAGCACATACACACAGCGATATGCAAGGCAGTGTATTCTAAGTTATCTTGTTACACAGAGCTGGGGGGATGGAGGAGGATAAACACAACTGGTTAAAGGGACCTTTCCATACTATGAAATGTGCTGAGCCATATGTATACCTCAGGGCTATTCAACTTTGGAAGACCAGAGGGCCACAGCTTAAGTATAGTTGCATATGTATGCAACTGGCTTCTTTCACACTGACGGGCATGGATACAAAGATTACAGCAAGACAACACAATACATAGGCCCCATATAAATCAGTTCTGCTGATATTAATAACGTGCAATATTTACCCGATTTCCACCCATATGACAGCACTTTTAATGAGCAACGACAGTCCAGGAGTTGAACCACTAAAATGCATATCAACAGAAGACCATTATATTGACCACTTTTTTGTTTTGGCTCCCATCTGCAGGCTGCAAACCCAAACTTAACCACAGGCTGTGTGTAAAGTAGCCCTAGTCTAATTCTTTATGCACCTTGGTCTTCTATGCTACAATTATGTGTGCAGGGCTCATGCTTAAGGGTCTGTTTAATAGCGGTGTGTACACATTCAACCTCAAGCAGGAGCTGGAGCTTTGGGATCCTATGAGGTGGGAGGCTCTTAGAGCCAGAGTTATAATGTGTACATAGCGCCAGACACCCTACTTCTACCCTGCTCCCACCCAGACCTTGTACCCTCACCCCCTTCTGCACCCCACGTCCCACCCAGATCCTGCACCCCCATCCCTATCCCACTCATCACGGGCAGCCCTTCCTACACATTTTTGGCCCCATCCCAGAGCCTAAGGGGGTCCATAAAATCCACTAACCCCAGAAGAGTAACTCTGGGTTATGGGGAGTCCTGCACCTCAGTGTACCCTGTCTCTCCCCCTCTCCCCATGGGGCTGCGGTGTCTCAGTTGGGGGCCACATGACCAGGGACACCTGGAGCAAAGCAGGAGTTCTCCAGCTTCCTGTAGTCAGCCGCTGGTCAGTTTCAGCAGCAGCGGCTGAATCTGGATGCCAGTTCTGACTTACATACAAAATTCAACTTAAGAACAAACCTACAGTCCCTATCTTGTATGTAACCCGGGGACTGCCTGTAGCTCCTTAAGCAGAGTCAGCTGCAGGCATCCATTTGCAGTGTAGACATAGCTCTACTAGCTACAGAGTGTAAGGCCATAAGTTTGAACTTTGTACCAATGCAAAACAGAATAAACAATTATACATTCTGACCCAATTATTGTAAAAATTTTAATGTTAGTTTTGATCATCAATGCTTTATATTGAGTTGCAAAACTTTGATTCTTTCTAGAAACAAAATGCCACATTCTCACAAGCAGGAACAATACAGCTTTGAAGTGTCTGTATACTATACAGAGCCTAAGATGGCATAGTCCCCTTCTGTGTAGGAAGGAGTGCCACTTCCTTGAACAAAGGGATTATTGGCTTAGCTATGTCAATCAGTGGTAGGAGCAGGGGGGGGTTTCCCCATTTCCTTGACTGGCATGTAGACAACATTTTATAAATTAAGTGTAAACAATGCGTTGCTTATACCTCCAATAAGTTAAAAATTGGAAGGACTTGCAAGTTGATTGCCAGGCTTTACCTAATGTAAATCCATTCCCTTTATGAAAGGGGTTGCTTAGGAATGCAATTGTTGGGTCCCAAGCTTGGAACAGTGTGGATTTGATATGCTGTGCCTTTTGCCTTAGTGGCTAAAGTTTGTCTCCCTTGTAGCTTTGGACAAAAATTAAGTCCTGATATTTTTCCCAGACATCAAACTGCATTTAACATTGTTGGCTGAGACTAATGTCCTATTGTGTTTGGCTTTCAGCGTGTGGTCTTTCTGAAGCAGCTTGCCAGTGGCCTGTTGCTGGTAACAGGTGAGCCTTTTTTCACTCAAGTCTGTTTAATTCCTGTTGAATTCATTGTAAGTCTGTTCATATCACAAGAAGAAAGTACTGTTTCTCCAGTATTAAGCTCATTCTAAGTTTTGTTTTGTTTTTTCTTTTCTTTTCTCTCTCTCTCCTGTCCCACCAGGACCTTTGGTTATCAATCGTGTCCCCCTGCGCCGGACTCACCAGAAATTTGTTATTGCCACATCTACCAAGGTTGATATCTCTGGGGTGAAACTTCCAAAACATCTCACTGATGCATACTTTAAGAAGAAGAGGCTGCGTAAGCCCAAACATCAAGAAGGCGAAATCTTTGACACCGAGAAGGAAGTAAGATTAAGAGTTTGTTTTTTCCATGAAACAAATACAATGTTTAAGAATTTCTACGAACATTTGAGAAGAAAGGTTAGAACCACTAAAATGCAGTAATATTACTGCATTTGGAAAAGTGTTGCAGCCATGTTAACTTTTGAGATATAGAGCTTTTCAGACATCACCTCCCACGCTTTCTCTCCCACATCAGGAGGGAAAAATCTTAATATTGCTTTTATCAAAATAACTCCATACTAAGTAGGTGTTTTTACACAAGTTATGGAAGCAGTGTCTATTTCATGGGCACAATCTTATACTGTATACTGAGTTATACAATGGCCCTGAATTTTTTTAATAGGCATTTCATGGTCTCTTGTGTATATCTGTTGTGTATTATGATCTTTAGAGATTTCATTTGCAGCATAGCATGAGCTGCTTAAAGGAGCTGCTGCTAAATTTAGCTAAAGTTTATTGCTTTTTTTCAACACAACTGATAAATTAACTCTTGATTTTTGTTCTTCAGAAATACGAGATAACAGAACAACGCAAGGCAGACCAGAAGACAGTGGACTCGCAAATCCTGCCAATGATCAAGAAGGTGCCCCAGCTGCGTGGTTACCTGCGTTCTGTATTTTCTCTCTCCAATGGAGTTTACCCTCACAAATTGGTGTTCTAAATTTTTCAGAAAATTTCACATTAAAATTGGGGGAAAACTGAGATTTGTCTTGTTCCAATTATATTTCACTTTGTAATGTATTATGCATATCCTAAAGTTTGGATTCAATTAGAAAACTGGTGGTGTTTTAAGTGAGATTTTGAAGAATGTGGCCCTGCATTTTGAACAATAGCAGTTTCTTACACATGTGCATTTCTGAACACTTTCATCCTATTTAAATCCAAATGATGGTGGGCTTTGTGCTCACTATTTGAAGAATATCCCTACATCTGGCTAGTTCTAGTGATAAATTGGGGTAAACTCCTTCAGGGTTTTTAGACTGTTCTATTTTCCATGTCCTGTCATAAATTGTCTTAATAGACTATTAAACTTCCATGGTATTTTTGCTTTCACCAGTAAAAATAAATTTCCTTATTGATGATGGGGAGGGGTGAGTCCTGGTTTCAAGTTCTGGCTCTGGCCAAAGGGTGGTCTTGCTGAGGGGGTGTTGGACAAATCATCTACTTTCATTTGTTCATGTATAAAGCTTGATCTTACAAAGTACTGAGCACTCTGGTCCTTATCTAACAAACCACTTACGCATTCAAGTATTTCCACAGAAGTTGATTAGACTACTAGAGGTGTTCAGTTAAGCATAAAAGTGCTTGGTATCTGAAGCATTGGACTATTAGGCAGGTATTGTTTCTACCCTCAAAGGTGGATGGAGCTCTTAAAGTAGCATACTGTAATGGCAGTTTATTAAGACTAAAGTAGTAAAAAATGTATACCTTGGCATCTTACCAAAATACTCTGATCTACTGCTGTCAAATTGGAGTCACCTATGAAATGGCAGCCTAGTCAATGTATTTGTTGCCTCCATGACATTGATTTCTGCAAAATTTTAGAAAATCTTTTTTATAGACTAGCCCACAGGGTTGCAAAAATAACTTCATATGACCCAAGTCAGGCCATGCAGTAACTCCCTCCCCGAGTCAGAAACATTGTTTCATTGCTGACCAATTTAGCAGACTGAACATGAACTGAGTTTACTGTAGCTCCTAAGGTGTAACAAAAGGATCTATGGCTTGAAGGCTTTACATAGTTTTATTTGTCCCCCAGCCCTCTGACTAAAATTGAATTTCAGTTCTTCACAAAATAACCCTCCTGTTCTAGTCACTATAGAGCTGCCTCTTGCCTTGAGGCAGGCACCTTCCCAATAAAAAGCTGTATGCATTAATAGATATGCCAGTGCCCCCAGGCTTCATCGGTGCTAACCATTTAAAATAGGACATTCTATCCAAGTGGAATCGTGCAACATTTATGTAGTAAAGCTGCCTAAATAAATAGCACCTCTCCCTTGACCAACTTACTAACATTGAGATCTTCTAGAATTCTATGCTTTCTCCCTGAGCAAAGCCCTTGGCTCATATAGCTCTCACTTTATTTTGTAACCAGATACATTATTTTACAAATAGCTAAAATTCTGGGTTCCTATGAACGTAAGCACATCAGCTGTACTTAAGGAGATTTATGGGGGGGGGTTCAATCTTTGTCTATTAACAGAAGAAATTGCTCCAACATGAAAGGTCATCCTTGACTAGTTGTAGTTTTCTATCAAGTTGCACTGAAATATCTGGAATAGAATGGCGTTAGTGATAAATAGCTCACTCTCTCAAAAAATCAGTTGTGTACACAGAGTTGTAACCAACCACCTGCCAACTTAGAGAAAAAACATTTAAATATCTTCTGCACAATTAGCTTTCTCAAATTGTTTTTCTTTTAGTATTGGCATCAAGCTCAGTGATGTACAGCAGGGGGCACTGATGAGCAGTTTTCAACCACCATTCAGCAGGTGGGGCACAAACATTTTAGGTCCTGCCATCCATTGTTTCAGATTGTCTTTGCGTTACCTATTTACATTAATTCTGGAGCTTTCAACCTGTAGTCTGTGGGCCCTTGAGAAGTCTACAGTCCATATCTCCCTTTGAAATTTAGGGCCCATAAATGAAAGGTTAAAAATCTCTTCTATGACTTCTATGTATCATTTTCTCTCCTTTGTCCCATTTGTCTTTTAACCTGCCTGTCAGAATCTATTAGAGGAATTCATCAGTCACTCATCAATATATGTGGATAGTTGAGGTGTTGGGGGGAAAGCATGTATTTAGTATTTTCTTTAAAAACTAGCTCAGGAAAAGTCATGATATTTTTACTAGATGGGATACAATCCTATCTAACTTTGAAATAATAAAATTTCACTTTAATCCTATTGTCGATCACAAATTAGGTGATTCCTGGGCTCAGATGTTGACCTCAGTGATTCAGGTAGAACTCGAAGAACTTAATGTGCATATGGCAAAGTAAAATAAATCTAAATGATGGAAAGATCTCTTTCAGGGAAGGGCTTCATTAGAAAAATCAGTACAAGTAATGTTCTAGTTCAAATAGCCCTTTTAAATATATAATTCTCCCCCCCCTTTTTTTTAATATAAATACCCCCAGTACCTACAGTTTTCAGACACAAAATATTTTTCTACCATTGCAACACATTTGTTTAAACAACTTAATCATAGCTAGGTGGGCGATGACATTTTGGGGTGTAAAAAGTACAAAAATAATAAAGCACTGTACCCTCCAGACTTCTCTCAAGTACCCACTGATGGTACTCATACAACTGGTTGAGAAACACTGTTCTATTTTTTTCACATTCAGAAATATTATATGCTCTTTGAAAGGTTCCAGATTGAGAATCTTGTTTAGACTGTATTGATAAATTCTAAGGAAATATCTGGAGCATTATAGTAGCAATTCTAATTTTTTTTTACTGTGAGACTATCAGAAAAATTGCTGTAACTCAATCATATCCACTCTGTTCAGCTAATGCCCACACATCTAATTTCCTAGGCAGATCTAAAGCAACCAATATTCTCTGGGGGACAGCTGGACATTATCCTAATTAACAGATTGGTAAAAATTGAAGAAAGGTTATGGTACACTCAAAAGCAACACCCACTGACCACTACACTTACCTTCATGCCTCCAGCTTCCATCCCATACACATTTCTCAATCTATTGTATACAGCCAAGCCCTAAGATACAACCGGATTTGCTCCGATCCCACAGACATAGACAAACACGGGATCTTTATAGAGCATTCCTAAAACTGACATACCACCAGGAGAAGTGAAAAAACAGATTGACAGAGCCAAGAGAGTACCCAGACATGAACTACTTCAAGATGGACCCAAAAGAAAAAATAACAGAACTCCACTTGTTATTATCCACAGTCTACAACTCAAACCCCTCCAACGCATTATACACAATCTGCAATCCATCTTGAAAAACGATCCCTCACTCTCAGAGGCCTTGAGGGAAAAGCCTATTCTCGCTAACAGATAACCCCCAACCTGAAAAGAAATCTTTCTGGTAATCATGCTACACAATCACATCAAAAGCATCCAGGAACCCAGTCCTGCAATCAACCACGGTGCCATCTCTGCCCACATATCTATACAAGCGAATTCATCACTGGAGCATAAGCTACCAAAACAAAGGATCATTTAACTGCACATCCAGTAATTTGATTCTATACCAGCAATGCCCCACTGCTATATATAATGGACAAACTGAACAATCCCTACGGGAAAGAATGAACACAAATCAGATACACGTAAAGGAAACATACAGAAACCTGCTGGAGAACATTTTCAATCTACCTAATCACTCTTTAAAAGATCTCCAGGTGGCTATCGTGTCACAAACCAATTCTACAGTCAAATAGAGAGGTGTTGGAATTACAATTCATCCACAAATTCAGTTCCTCCACTGCTAACCTTCTCAATTGCGATAAGGATGGTTAGACAGTATCAACCTAACATTGCCTGGGTGAAACATTCGACGCACATGCCGAACACCGCTGGACTCATCGTAAGCCAACAGTTAAGAAAACACCAAATTGTTTGTTACTGTATTAAAGACGAGCGCTTTACCAGTAGAATGGGCTGGGAGGATGGCACGCTGCATCCTCCATACAGGGATTCTTTGTTAAGTATAAAACAACTCAATCTCAACTATGTAGAGTTGATAATCTGTACAGATTCTTGCGTTAGCACCCTTCCTATCTAATTACTATCCTTTGATCCTTATCTGCCTCTTTTTAGCTATCCAATCTTCAGGTGCTTATAGATTTCCAGTTCTGCCTACTTGTTTTTCCCTTTGATATTTTCATACCCTCTGCTCCTTGTTTCCCACCCCCCTCCTTTTTTTCCCCTCCTCCCTCCCTCCTACCTCCTTCCATTAGGAGCCCAAAGGACTATTAGAGTACCTTGAGTATGAATCAGTACATTAGCACTAAGGAAAGGATTTGTGGAAAAAGCACAGATCCATCTATCCCAGGCATGTTAAACAGGCATCTGGAAGGCCGCATGCAGCCCAATCAAAGTTTTTTGTGGCCTGCCATAACATTTTTATAAAAGAATGAAGTGCAGCCCGCTGGCCACTTGGAGCATGTGGCCGAGTGCCTGCTCACAGCCGGCTGGGCTGCTCTGCACCGCAGCAACTGCTCACGGCCGGCTGGGCTGCTCTGCGCATGCTCTCACAGCCATCTGGGTGCTCTGCACTGGGCACTCCAGCAGGCACTCACAGCTGGCCACTGTGCTCACACCACCCAGCGCATCAGGCAGCAACGTTGACTCTGTGACCCAGGTATTAGGTTGGGGGGCCTGGCTTTGGGGTAGGAGGGAGGCATTAGGTTGGGGAGGGCTGGCTCTGGGGGAGTGGATGGGGATTGGGTTAAAATGGGGGCATGGGAGTGCTTGGTGCTAGGGGAGTGGAAGGGGTTATTTTGTTAATATTTTGTTTTTCATTTATTCCCAAATAAAATCACAAAATGTATATTAATTTTATATCAATAAATATGTCAGTTTTTGCAATTGCATGAATAATTATATCTTTATACAAAATCTCAAACTTACAAAGAAGCCTGTTCTATTTGATTAACCATGGTCTATACATGTTTTTATTTCAACAAAACAAGTTATGTATCATATACAATTATGTTAAATTAATTTAAAAATTATGTAATATGAGTAAATAACAATTTTATACATCAAATTATTGTTATAAAATATACCTGCAACGTAATCTATAAAATAAATAACTAAGATTTTCCAACAAAGTACATTTTCTTTGGTGGCCCCTGGGGTTGGCAGGTGTCTGGTACTTGTGCCTTGTTCCCCGCACCTAAAATGCTTGACAACAAATGTTTTCTTTTTTGGTCAAACCATTTGGGTTGGCCCTGAAAGCTATCAGTTTTAGTTTGTCCGGCCCTCGGTAGGCTTCTAGTTTGATATGCCTGATCTGCATGTTTTGTTAGTCTATAAAGTGCTACCAGACCAATGCTGTCTGACTAATGCTG